GTTAATTTTTTTTTATTACTGAGCGATGTCTAGTTAGCGAAAATTGAGGCCCAGGTTTATGCTGTACAGCATGATATGTCAATACAACCTAACAGTTTAAGCAAAACAACAATTAAAAGGCAAACGGAACAAGAAAACAACACTCGGTTACTGTTTTATTTTGATTATTCATGCACATTTTTGTTACTGATACAGTACGTGTTCGTTCCATGACTCCACGCTTCGTTCTTGTCGCCTGTTTTGATTCTTGTATTTGGCATATATTAGCATCCTTTTGGTGTTTTGTCAAGCTGATTCTCCCTGAGTGCTTCATAGCATTGACTGTATGCGTAAGTACGTGTCCTACAATAGCAGTCTGCAACGTGAACACGTATTATACATGCGCATTGGGCTATTCTAGCGCAGTGTTCGACGCCATGAATCCCGAGGGAAAACGCTCTGACACATGGTATTTGTACATCCGATCGTAAGACGTTCCAAAATTTTTATTCTTTCACAATACTAAGCAATATTTGCTTTTATAATCGCGCGCGAAGAGAAAACGCATTTGCGTTTTCCCATAGGAATGCATTACCGGAAACCAAATTTAGGCTGGTGGCTGTCTGCTTCAAAATGCAACAACACAATATAAAGTTTATTGTTATAACTCTATGGGTAAAACGAGAGAGGGCACACGCCCGATTCCTCTAGCAGACGACAAACCACGAGGTTGCCGTTCTCCATCTTTGGGCGGTACCGGCGGGCTGTACCGGCGGGCTGTACCGGACATCGAACTCTCGCTCGTGGCTGCCGTTATGAACTGGTTTGCGTTCTTAGAATATGTATGGTTGCTCGAAAATCAGCTAATAGCGCTCTGTTGTTTTATTTCAGTAAATGATCAACTAGCGGATTTTTGTTCCGTTACTTCAATAGCAGTGGAGTCAGCCGGCGGTACTACCCTCAACCACTGCGTCTATTGCGTCAGGAGACCACGCTTTTATTCATTATTCTAGACTTCCACTCATTGTCGCTAAAGGCCTACACCAGTACGAATTTCGCCGGACAGACCGGCCACTCTGACAGTTTTCCCCTTTTTTTTTTTTTTTTTTTTTTTGCACGTAGGTAACAGCGCAATAGGGCCCGGTTAGTATTTTTTGCAAGCATAGCATTACACGATAACTTGCAAATCAAGATCCGCGCGTCTGCGCTTAAAATTTCCAAAATGACGCTATTTTAAACCGAGTTTCAACGCGAGCCGGATGTTAGGTACAGCGAGACTTGTACACATTGCTGAAAAAAAAAAAAGTAACCAACTACAATTACAATTACAGCCTTAAAGAAAGTAATCGAAAAATTACTCTAAAGTAATCGATTACTTCCTACGTTACTTTTCATGCAACTTTTTTTGATTACGGTAGCATAATTCTTGGGGCCTTGCCGCTCAGTTGTTCCGAAAAAAAGAAAAAAAAAAGCCTTGACCGGTTTGCTTAGAACTGAGTGAGAGACGCCAACACACCTAATCTCTCTCATGAAATACAAGATATATATATAAATAAAACGAGGGCTGTTTAAATACATTACTCACAAGAGGCTGGATAAGGTCATTTTTCATACCCGGACGTAATCTCCGGTGTAATAAAAAAACAACAAATGTACCCCGGAAACGAAGCATAGTGAAGTGGCCCACTAATTGTCGAGGTCCCGTGCTTACTAGTTTCAAAAAACAAAACAAAAAACAAAAAAAAAAAACATTGACGGCTGCCCAGAGCTGAGTGACTCCAGCAGATATAACCCCCTCCCTCCCCCCCTTTCAAGAAAAAAATTAATTGATAAAATTTGTAATAGGTAATTTTGCAATCGATTACAGCAAAAATAATTCAATTACAAGGATCGTTGCTCCTTAAAAGAAGTAATTGAAGCGCTACGAAATTACAGTAAAATGTAATCGATTACAAGTAATTCATTACTTGTGACGCGTTACGTACAAGTCTGGCGGCCCACTCGGCGGAGCAGACGACGGGCGGGGTGAGAGGGGAGGATATTTTTCCTCTCCCCGTTCTTCCTAGTTGAACCAAATACTTTTACTAGGGGGAATACATTCCATTCCTCGAAAATACATTAGCCTCGGCGCGGACAGGTTTTCTGGGCCTCGCAAGAGCCATCTATCGTCGGGGAGGTCTCGGCTATCGAGCGCTAAATGATGATAATGATGATGGTTCTTTTACATACCAAATTCATTGTTGTGGAAGTGCTCGAGACACGTGCCGCGCGCCACTTCTGGAAGAACATGGCGTCTAAAATCTAGCTCAGTGCTGCGCCATATGCTTTGCTGCGCTGTGCCGCCATGATCTTCCCAAGGGTTGCACGTTGCACGTGCCTCGTGCATCGACGCACCTTGCGCTACTTTTGAAACATGAAGGGGCTTTAGGTGGAATCGGAGACGGCACCGCCTCGGCCGCCAGGAACATCCACGTGCACATGCGCGTGGACTAACGCAGACCTCTCCTCTGTCAGGGCTGGATTCGGCAAAGTATAGGCGTTCTGTCTAATGCAAATGAGCGGAGTGGAATGTATTCCCCTGGTAAAGTATTAGGTTGAACGGTTTTTACTTCGTCTCACTTCAAGTGCGAGCGCAACAGGAGCCGTGTCTCCGATCGTGGGGACGAGCCCGCGCAGTTGCAAGCTGGCCAAAGCTATGTTCACACGCAAGCTGCACGTGCTTGCACTCATGAAGCACCTAGGGTGCCTCAATGTCCTTCTGTTTAGGGTGATGCCACCCTTTGTAGTACCCGATGCCGACAGCACGCGCTCACGGGTAAAATACAAAGAAATCAACGAAAACAAAATGTCGCCATAGCACAGTCAGCGCCACAAACGCGTGCAGGGACACGCTCTCTCACGCGCTTCTGAACAAAAAATACAAATTTAACGTGTGGGACAAAATGGCGAGATGCCACCACCCTAAGCAAAGCGCACATGAAGGCACCCTAGGGGCACCGGGGCACCAATTGGGGCGCCATGCTCGCAATTGTCTATACTCCGTTCATAGCTCCATTCACCCCTAAGCTGAGACTGCAGCCAATGCCACAAGCGCGAGAGTTCGAGGTCGCTGCTTTGAAGTGTTCTTTCGCAGTACAATTACAGTGTAGTACAATCACTCGCGCTAGAAGTGCTTGTCTCAAACCCAGAGGCGCGGGGGTCGCGCTTGTAGTTTTGGCTCAGCTTAAAAGTCCCCTGTCAAGCACGCGCGCTCGTGCAGTGCGATCACCGCCCAGGGAAACATGCCCGTGCTTGCAGCTTCTGCTTAAAGGGGCCATGAAACGAATTTGGGGCTGGGATAAATGATTTTAAATTGGGGCTTTACTAATCGCACATCGTTTAGATGGCCAAAAGGAAGAGGGTAGAAAATGAAAAGCCAGCTTTTCGGTACGAACATTTGAAAACCATAGCGGACTATTTTGTACCTTCTTTCCTTCGAAAGCTCTCCTCCTTTTCACTTTGATACATCCGCGGTTCCCAAAGCGCGTCAGTGGTGCCAACCTGACGTCAGCCGAGCCCAGCTCACGCGTTGGACACGAGAACTGCGTCAGTCGGACCTATGCGCTCGTCAACAATCAATCCGTCGACGAATATTTGGATTCGCGTTCGTGACCAATAAGTGCCCTGACGGAACTTATCGTCACTGGCGGATGACAAGTTCTATGGTGTGCATAAAAAGTACGGTGGAAGCTAGGAGTCATCGCACCGGTGCCGAAGTATGTCACGACGACGTAATTTCACAATTCGAATTTGAGTTGAGAATTAAAGCTAAGGAGGAAGAAGTAGGGAAATCGTTTCATGGGACCCCTTTAGCTCGCGCATGAAGTAAAACGGGGTATAGTTTTTGTAAAAAAGGTTCCGGCACGATTTGGGTGCTGGCATTGAAGCAACAGCAACACTTTAGGCCAGAGCTTTAGAGCCGCTTTCAATAGACCTTTCCGGAAATATGTATCGTCTCCGGCGCATGCTTGACGCATTATGACGTTCCGTTCCAAGAATCGAAGACGAAGTTGACGTTGATTCAACAATTTGTGATTTCAGAAAGCAGACGAGGCAGAAGGAAAGCAAAACAGAATATGGGATGAGCTCCTCTTCTATTCGCTTTCGACTTTGTGCGTTCCGAGCTCCTAATATTAGCAGGGAATGAATCGTGCCGCCACCAGGATATAACAAGCGTTCGAGTCGGCACGAGCGTGCATCGGAACAGCTCCACAATCCCCCTCGCTGCGAGGTCTCCTGGGAGTTGTATGGGTGCATCTTGATTCTCAAGGAGGGTCGCCTAGGGTGTGTCATTGTCTGCATTGTGGGTTTCCTCTTTGAAGGGGGTACCATATAGAAACACAGAAGGTCTGTGGGCCCGTAGAGTGACGCGTTTATTGGCGAATACGCCATAACACTTTGCTCGTCGGCTAAACAGATGAAAGAAAAGATTGAAAAAGGTCGGCGCTGTCGTATCAAAAAGATTCACCTGGAGGGGCACACGCTACAGTACTAGGCAAATTCGTGGGAAGGGGGAAGCAGCAAAAAGAAAGGTATGAGTACCAGAGCCTCCCCCACAGAGAAAGTCCCCGGCTCCCCGCCGCCTCCCCCCCCTCCCCCGGGGGTTTCGGGGCCGGTTTATATAGCCTGCGGGAAATGAAGGCGCTTCGGTTAGGTAATGTGGCTTAGCCCGCAGATGTGTCGCGTCCAAAATCGTTCCCCAGAGTGTGCCAGTAGCAGATTCATCCAAAAGGTCGAGGGAGGCACCGCCCTCTTCGAGGAATGTGCCGTCGCCTCGTACCCGGCAAGCCGCCGCCATCGCGGTCCCCACGACCTGCATGTGCTAGGCCTAGATAGGGAGATGGGGAACACGTGGTTCCCACAGTATGTATGGTAATCGTTGTCAGTACCCTCGGTCATTCAAAACGTCAGACGGCTATTCGGGGAAAGAAAATGCCCCCATAACCCTCGCACACACCCCAGGATGAGAGGCTCTCACTTACTGGCTTGCACAATGTGGAACACGCATGGTTTGCTCTGGTAGCCGACGCTGTTGTTGGCCAGGCAGAGCAGTGTCCCGAAGTCGATGTCCGAGAGTGGGGTGTAGCGCATGACGCTCGACAGTGTGGCCCTGTCCCCGCTGAAGCCGGAGTGGAGCACGCGGGGACCGCCGGTGCCGTTGAAGCTCCAGTGGAAGGTGACCAGGTCCGGGTGCGAGAGAACCTCGCACACCACTTGCACCTCGTCGCTGCGGGAGCCCACGTATACCACCGGGGAGTCCTGCTTGCACACCGGGGCGTCTGGGAGGGGGTAAAGAACAGCGACCGTCAAGAGCAGGCCGCGGGCATTTCGCTTCCAACATGCACTTTTAAGCCACCGCCATACCGCTCATAGACTAGACACAAGACGCTGTGTTCGTCGCAGACACGCTAACAGAATCATCTGGAGACAAGCCTCCAGCATCTTCGAAGTATGTCTGTTTCATACATGCTTCGAACGTGCTTGCATGCAGTCTTCGTGTGACCAAAGTGACGTCATACAATGAGGAGTACACTCTTGAGACAGTGTCAGCAGACTGCCTTTAGTACGATCATCATACATAGGTAAATTACTTCCAAAATGTAATTTAATTACAATTACGATTACTTTGCTTCAAAAGTAGTTTAACTTCAACAACGATTACTACTATGTGAAAGGCAATTATTTACAATTACAAATTACTTTTAAAAAGTAATTAAATTACTTTACAATTACTTATTTATGAGAGCGATCCGACTTGGGCCATATGCCTTTAAACGAGTTGTATAGAATGCAATGTATCTATTTATTCCTTACTCCAATGTTCACGTATTGTACTTTCTTTTTTTTTACGAATTTTGTTAAATTCATGATTTAACTTGATGGTATGGGGAAATGAAGTACTACGTTCTTATATTTTTAATAAATAATAATTAATTAGTTGATATGCTGCAAGAGGCCAGGTGGATAAAAAAAAATAGGTTAACAGACTTCAGTTAGCCAGGCAAATAAAAATGTGAGTCATATAGGAATATTTTACAAGTGTTAATATAAAAGTAAAATCCACACGCGCTAATACGACCATATACACATCCAAACATCATGGTATTGTAAATTATCTACATCGAGTTGAAATTATAATGGCTCAGAAATATATAAGTAGCGAATCGGGGTACCCGAATCATTGGGGCAATATTCACAGGTGCGAGGTCAGTCTCCAAAGTGCTTATGCAAATAATATCAGAAGTAAAACCAACATGAAATAAACTTGAAAATGATACGAAGATACACATATGCGACAGTACTGGAAGAGGGACGTAAAAATCTGGCAAAAAAAGAAAGAAAAATAACTTCATAGACAATTAAAATTCCCAACCTCGGCTGAAAGCTGAAGCTTAATTTTGTTTCTTTCAATAGTTTGGTATGTTTACGCTATTGATTTCTGCTCGCACCGCAGACGGCGCTACACGGCGGCGTTGAGGTAGGCTCCAAAGAGGATTGTCTCTCAGCCCGCAGTGTAAGCAACAAAACAATAAACAGTGCGACGTTATTTATGCTGTGCGCGTGTGTGAGTTTGTGTCTGCGTGTGAGTATTTCACCGGAGCTAGGCCGCTTGTGCGAGCGCTGAGCCTCTCAGAGAGGTTCCGTCGGCGCCGCAAAGTTTCGCAAAAGTAATTGTAATTGTGTCTGAAATTTTGCAATTACTAGCGCTAGAAAGTAATTAAATTACAATTGCAATTCCTTTTAGCCAAAAGTAATTTATTACAATGACAAATTACCAAGAAAACCAATTCAATTACAGTAATTGAATTTTTACCTAAGTATGGACGATGTAATAGCTCTCTGACCGCGGCCTAAGGATTCTGGAGAGTCTATTCACGCGCAAAGCATTTGGGAGAGTTGATTCCTTCTCCATTCGATCTGGATAAGCAATCGTACCGGCGTGCGGTCGTCCGTAACTACCGCGTGATGCAGGTTAAAGACACCCAGGCTAGCGGTCGTACCGCACCGGTTGAATTTCATCTACAGCGTAAACGAGTATCGCCGCACCTCAAAGGCAGACTGACCTTAGGCTGTCCAAACAAGAACGCCAAATTTGGTTTGGATTAGCTCGACGAATGGCAAGGCAAATAACATGCTTAAATCTGAGAAAAAAAAAAAGTCTTCGCTGTGAAACGCAGACTTCTTTTTCGTCGTGCTTCACCTTGAAGCGTCGTTCTTCACTTTGAAAAAGGTGAAGCACGACGCTTCACCTTTTTCAGTGCCACATCACCGACAGTTTTAACATGGAATATGTTATATGGCTTCCACTTAAACATATCTGGTTAGGCGCCCTGCAACGGAAGACGGACTGCCAGCTGATCGGTGACGCAGCGCTCGTCTCCTCAAATTGAAATTCAAATTGCCTTTATTTCCATCAAAAATGGGGGAGACCGAGGAAAAAAGCTGCTATAGAGCAGCTTAATTTTGACGTGTCCTCGACCCCTTACAGACAGTGGTTGCCAAAAACGTTTTTGTTAGTGTACATAAGGAGCAAATATCGAGTCACTGATGCAGAAATGCAGAAACATAGGAGCCATCCTACAAGGTTATCACACTAGGTCATTGGTGACCTAAAATTCGCAGGGCAATCACAGACACAAAAAATTCATGATAACAAAAACACTAAGAAACACAAAGTGCCAAAAGCGAAAAAAATTGCTACGTCCACTTTCTAAAAAGTCCTATAACATCTAAAAAAGAGTTGTAAAGAGCATAAATATAAAGAGTCACGGAAAAAATTAAAATATGCGCTATAAATGCGTAGCATGTCCAAAAAAAACACAGGTATAAAAAGAATGCCGCAAAGCCAATGCCGGGAAAGTAAAAAAAAAAAAAAGATATAGAAAAAAAGCGAACCACTAAACGTCAGATATAAAAAGCTAGCACAATAAACGCGAAAAAATGTCTAAATGCAATGGGTAGTAAATACAACATAAAATAAGCACACGCGGAGTTAAGAAGAAAAGAATCACTCTTCAGACATAAATCGTCAGTCACGGAAAAAGGCGAAAGGAAGCAATATCAAAAACAAGGACAAGGACGAAGCAAAATTATACAAGAGTTAAGCGCAGTCTTCTCGCGGAAATGTTGCGTAGGTTAGTCTCTTGTTGAATATGACCGTTAAGTAACTTTGGGAGTAGATATTTCATCATCTGGGTTCCATAGTCGGTTCTGCATTTTTCAACCTTCCAGTAGTCTCTGCAGCGCGTTTCATAGGCTTTCGTGTTTTTAGTCAGGAACGCAAGTGAGGTCAAGTTTAAAGTGCCTCTTTTCATATCACACATATAGCTGAGACTTAGCCTGTAATCGTATAAATTGAAAAATTTTTATTACGGAAAGCTTTCGAAAGATCGGTAAAGAATGAGACTGGTAAGGGGAGTTGCAAAGAGCGCGCATCATTTTCTTTTGTAGTCGGTGTATTTTTTTCTAAGTTGGTTAGACCTGTCGTCCCTCAAACAAGGTACCCGTAGCTGATACGTGAATAAAGCAAAGAGTTGTACAGCAACAGTTTTACCTTGGTGGGAAGTATAAGTCTGTGACGCTGAACGACCCCAACAGCACGTGCGAGTATTGTACAAACTAAATTTATATGGTGCTCCCACGTCATGTGTTCAGAGACTGTTATTCCCAGAGGTTTAAACGATGTTACGAATTCAATATTAGTAGAGTTGTATAATAATGGCGCTGTGATTGATGCGATTTTGCTGTTTGACCGGAAAAGCTTTTGTTTTAGAACTGTTAATTACCATGGAATTTATCATTACTCACATTTCAAACATAGCCAAAGTATTGTTAGCAACGTTTATAATATCATCATATCTTCCACCCGTAAAAAAAAAAGATGCTTGTGTCGTCGGCGTAAATTATGAATTCGGCGACTTCACTGATTTGAACTTTGTCATTAATAAAGGCATTGAAAAGAAATGGACCGAGGATACTTCCCTGCGGCACTCCAGGAAGGAGTGGTCTGACATCTGAGTGGGATCCAACTACAGAAACATACTGACATCGGTTGTTTAGGTATGATTGAAATAACGCTAGCGCCTTTCCACGAACACCTAATGATTCGAGCTTATACAGTAAGATGTCGTGGTTTCACAGGTTGACAGCTTTTGTAAAGTCAACATATATTCCAAGGACCATCTTTCTTGCCTGGAAAGTTTTTAGAATAAATTCCTTTTGGCTGGCACTGATTGGATACCAGTGCCAGCCGAATCCCTCCCTCGAGTGACTCAGTGTCACTCCCGGAAGGTGCAAAACAGCACGTGTTCAGACATACAGCGGCGCTCTGCTCCGTCGAACATGCGCGCTCCAGGCTTCTCCACAGAAAAGGCGCGAGAGAGAGCGACAGAAAAGCAGAGGAAAGCCTACACTACGTTAAACGTGCTCCCTTTGCCGTAACGGGTCGAGTCATTTCGAGTGTTTTGTTCTGTTTTGCAGCGAGCTGGCGCCAGGGTTCTGGTCGGTGCTGTAGGAAGTCTAAATTGACCAGAGGCTCAATCTCAAACCATCACATCCCGTTTGCAATTTCAATTCAGTTCAAATCATTTTAATTTATTTGATTGTCTTCATTCAAGACGAGAGGTAAGAGGGGGAAAAAGCAGTACAAGAACTGCTTGACGGAGTCCCCCCTTCCCCCTACAGCAACAACAGTGCAGCACTTCACTCTCTCTCTCTCACACACACACACACACATTAAAAAAAGAACTAAAATGTTTTGTATCCATAGTAAAAAAAAAAAAAGAAGATATAATTAGCTTGACGAGACCAGCAACGAGCGTGTATATTTTACATTTCCGACACTTTCAATGTCAATTCCTAGTGACAAAATAAAATTGAGTCTTCTGGGGAGCTGATACCTAAGCATCTTACTTCTTTCCATAGTTCGTTCTCGTGTGGGGTACCGTAAAGGTACAGGCATGGCGTATGGAATAGAAACGACTTCTTAAGTAAAAAGAAGAAAGAGTGATGAAATTACCGTTCGGATTACTCAAAGCTGTTTCGAACGTTAATAACGATTGCAATAATAAAAACAAATTGAAATTGCAACGATGTATTATTTTTTCGAATATTTGTGACTTGGCATTGCTCAAAATGCGAACTACATTTTTCTGCAGTACATGGAAAGTGTGAATATTTGTAATCGTAATGTTATTTCCTAAAAAAAAAAACAAAAAAAACAAACAAAAAAAACAGTAACGAAACAAAAGAAACTGTTCTAGCGAACGCCTCCTGCGCA